AAAATGGTTATCGCTATGTATGAGCCTTGGCAAACCTATAACACATCGCTAGGAGGTGAGCACTCAGCTTACGGTATGAAGCACTCAAAGGAAACTAAAGCCGTCTGTGGTGAGTACGCCAAAAGGCGGTGGGACGGCAATAGAGCACTTGACAAGTACCCTATGGAAGCCTACCTGTGCAGTAGCTACAAGGAAGCTAGACTTAAGTATGGCATCCCTAAGACGACTTGGTACAGGACTAAAAAGGTGTTAAGTAACCAAGAGTAGTATTTCAAAAAGCACCTAAGCATGTGCCTAAACTGCCTACTTAAATCAAAGGGAAGGTAAAATATGTGGGTTATCATTACACAAGACAACTGTAGTTATTGCGATAAGGTTAAGGAGTTGTTGGATGAACACCATAAGAACTTTTATACCTACAACCTAAGTACTGGCAGCAGTAGGTGGATACTAACCCTTATGAAGAAAGCCAACTTAAAGACTGTACCTCAAGTATTCAAACCTGATGGCTCTCTAGTAGGTGGCTACACAGAACTTAAAGAACTCCTTACAGAAGGTCCACTATAATGGTTCAGCAACAACCTAAAGTAAAGACACAACGGGTTAAGACTAAGCACTCTGAGAAGAGACAACCTATTCACCTGTTGCCTAAGAATGAAAAACAGAAGGAATACCTAGAAGCCCTAAAGTCTTCTGACCAAGTTATTGTTTTCGGGCCAGCAGGAACTGGGAAGACTTATTGTGTAGCTACTTTTGCAGCTAATCAGTACCATCTAAACAACGTCAATAAGATTGTTATTACTCGACCTCATGTCCCTGTAGGACGTGACATTGGCTTCCTTAAGGGTGACCTACATGAGAAGACTATGCCTTGGGCCTTGCCAGTCTTAGATGTACTAGAGCGTCACCTGACTAAGGGTGTAGTAGAGACTGCACTACGGAATGGTAATATTGAGATTGCTCCTCTAGCACTTATGAGGGGTCGATCCTTTGAGGATACTTTCGTTATTGTAGACGAGACACAGAATATAACACTGCAAGAAGTCAAGATGCTTGTTACCCGTATTGGAGAAGGCTCTAAGCTAGTTCTTAATGGTGATATTCAACAGAGTGACTTGACAGAGACGGATGGGCTAACTAAGTTGGTACACTACGCTAAGAAGTATCTACTACCTATTCCTATCGTTGAGTTTGGTATTGACGATGTGATCCGTAGTGATATCTGCCGTTCATGGATTAAGGTGTTCACCGAGGAGGGTGTGTAAATGGGCAAGTTTGATATTGGCTCTGAAGTAATGGTCACTGATGACAGAATCTCAGGTCACGGCTTTGAGATCGGTGAGTTGGTTACTGTTATAGGTATCTCGGACTATGGTAATATTAAATACGCGTGTAAAGGTCTTGACGATAGGCTTTGGTGGCTTTCAGAAGGGGAGTTTGAACGGGTGGAAAGTCTTAAGATCGACACTTTCGATGCGGTAAGTAAACCTAGTCACTACAACCACGGGGATGGTATCGAGTGTATCGACTACATCCGTCAAGTCTTGGGTAAAGAAGGTTTCATTGCTTACTGTCGTGGTAACCAGATTAAGTACCAACACAGGGCTATGTACAAAGGTAAGCCCGTAGAAGACCTAGAGAAAGCCCACCAGTATAATGCTTGGGCTATCGAAGCCTTAAAGGAGACTAAAGAATGATTACTGCTTTAGCACTTATATGTTCCTTTGATATGGTCACTGACTGTGAGGTTATCGCTAAGCTTACATTCTTCAAGAGTGTACTAGAGTGCCAATCTGACTTAGGTAATGCCATGGACTATGCAGACTCTGAAGGACGGTATGTAGCTTCGTACCGATGTGTTGTGTGGGGAGAACCCGTGTAGCGCAATCTACAAGACAAAAGAAAACCCCAGAGAGTCCACTCAAGGATTCTCTGGGGTTTTGTCGTTTGTAACTATCGCGTATCTTAAGTGCGCTTAAGGCGGAACAGGCTTCTTATGTATCTGGCTATCTCATTAGGGCTAGGGAACAGCCACCCA